TTTTTTTTTTTTTTTACATATCAACCTATCAAACATTTGTTTGAAATTGCCATCACAGATTATACTGTAAAGAATGGATTTCAGAAATATAAATTTCCTACTAAAAAACGAATGGTTTTTAAAAAGCGTAACCGAAATAACGAAACTCGTTGATAAATACAAAAATGATCAATTAAAGAGGTCTTATTCATTATTAATACTTTACTGTCTTGAAATAGCAAATTACTCTCATGCAAATCATTGTTAAAATTTTAAGCAAATTAAGATAAAAGTGTAAAAATACATAAACTCTATCTGATAATAGCTCATTTCCTGCTATGAAGTTTTTTTGCGCTTCGTAATGCATTGTTAAATAATTGAAATGGCCGGTAGTCTATAAGATTTTTTTTTTCAAAAGGAACTTTTTTTCAGAGGGATTTTTTGTTATTGAGTAGTTAGGAAATGCAATGAATTGATTCACCGATAATTCATTATCAATTTGACCACTAACTGTAATTTGTAATTGTAATTGTAATTGTAAATTGTAATTATAATTTCTAAAATAATCATACTACTCAGTGAAAATGTTCGAAATTATATATGTCGTTGGAAAAAAAAAATCAAAGAAATAACACTATTATTTGAAAAATTTAGCAATAATGTTATTTTTTATAGGATTATAGTTAAATTCTATGATATCTTCCTATTTTGATAATATTTAATTTCAACATCAGTTTTACAATTTTGCACCAGGAAATTAAAAATTTTAAAGAATTATTGAAAATTTTTCAGTTTTTTTAGGATTTCAGCAGGTGCTGATAAGAAGCGTAAAATAAAGCATCGTAAACTGAAAGATAACTATAAAAGCTTTAAGAACAGGAAAGAGAAAATTCAAGATGTAAAACAGACAGGAAACGAACGAGATGAAAACAAAAACAAGACCGTTCTACCAGGTAAAATGACAAATAAAAAAATGTTAGCATTACCTGCGACTGCTAATTATTCGGAAGAAGAATTCGCTAGTAAACCCAAAGCAAAGCATAGAAAATCGAGAATTATGGCCGATAATTTCGTTATGAAGAAAATTGCAATGAATAAAACGGATAGTAATTCGGCAGGAAATGAACGGAAAAAAACAAACGCAAAAACATCGTAGCAAAAAGATTCTTAGAAAAGGTTGTAAAGATAGATTTGAAAAAAAGTTTTTTTTTTTCGGATAGATTTGTAAAATTTCTCATTTCATTGCATACGGTAACATTGATTTGTCCAGCAACAAAAATGATTTATAACAAGTATTTGAGTTTTATATTCAAGTAGTTGAAATGGAAAGAAAAAACTTTAATATAGATACTTTAATGTTATATGTGATATACACTTTACATGAAGTTCATCAGATGGTATCACATTAATTGAAACCGTCTTCGATATCTATCTTCTGAATGCTTCTTGTAATAGATTCCCACTTCCTAATGATTCCTAATGATAGACATAGCAATGTCTCGAGAATAGGATTTCTTTTGAACATTTCTATAAAGTGATTATAATTTACTGAAAAATTTCAAGATTCTTGCGCATAGTGCTATCAACCATTTTTTTCATTCAATTTTTTAGGCATTCAGGGAAAATCAAGCGATTCTTCCAGAAAGAGAGTGGAAGGATCTGAAAAAAAAACAGATTCAAGAATTGATATGGCAACGAAATCGGAAACTAAGAGTGTAAGAAAACTCACTAAATGTTCCAAAAATAGCCCAGTGAAAGATTCAGCAGAGGTCAACAAATTCAAAAAAGAAAAGATAAAGAAAAATAAAAGGTCAAAAAAGAAGCTAGCAAAGACTGCGGAGAAGTTTGTAGAAACTTCGGAGAAGAATAAAGCAAAACAAACAAGTATGAAAGAGAAGGATGTAAAGAAATCCGACAAAGATTCAGAAAATATCAGTAAATCAGAAAGGAAAAAGGAGATGAAGAAAGTAAGTGGAAAAAAGAGTAAACATTTTAAAGTTCCTGCTGAATCTGTGAAATCTTCGAGAAAGATCAAGATGAAGAAGCTAGCTCTAAAGAAAAAAGACAGAAGTATATGTGAGAAAGAACCGGAGGGGATGAGAGAATCGGAAAAAATCAAAATAAAAGAAAAACCTAAAATTAAGAAAGGAAAAAGAAGAAGGTCTTCTGAAGAAGTTTATGAATCCGAAAAGATTAGAGATAAGAATGATGTGAAAAAGCACAGGACTACTTCGAAAAGTACAAGTAAGCAGTGCAAAATGAAGAAGCGCAAAGCAAAGAAAGTAAAAAAAGGTTAATATATATTCATCAAGAAAATAAGAATTTTTTAGGCAAAAATAAAAGTAAAGTTAGTAATAAAAAAAAATTAAATTAAGTAGAAAAGCGGAAAAATTGAAAGAAACACGGATAAAAAAATTTGAAAGTAATAACAAAGATAGTTTTATGAAATGAATTGATGCAATCTTAACTTCAGGAAACGAAAAAAAGAACAAAAAAGCTGAAGATGAGAGAAAATTAAGATCACAAAGAAGAAAGTCTGAAATAAAATTTCTGGAAGATCAAGGATCGGATAGTAGTATTATGATTACAAAGCAATCCATTCCCATCTCTAAAACAGGTAACAATTTAACTTCATCACCTTCATCATTAACACCAGTAACATACATTTCAATCTTTTCAGCTATCACAGTTTCCTTTCCGCTATTAGCAACAGCTATGCCAGTTACAGAAAACCAAATATCTGATGACGATATTGAAGAAATCGATGAGAAAATTGATCCGATTGATGAGAAAAGAAATGAGCAAGAACGAATTGTAACGATGATGAAACAACCGTTAGAAAAGATAGAAGAAGTTAAGCCTAAGCAGAATGATATGAAAAGAGATGAACTTTCCAGAGATGCGAGAAAAATTATGCATGTTTTTATTCAGAAAAAAAATAAATTACATGATATGACAATGAAACCGAATCAAATACAATATGAAATGAATACGATGAAAAAAACAAATAGTGATATTACGCAAGGACCAGGTATTATTATATTATCAACTTAAATTTAAAATTACAGAAGAGAGAAAATGGATTCATAATGGTATTAATTAAATTAAACAGATTCAGAAAGAAGTAATAACTTGAATCTATAACTAGAGAAATTCAAAATCTAGAGAATTGAAGTTTAGACAGTTCAACTAGTCCCACAAAATCAGAATCATCAGAAGAACGGGAGGATGAAATGAAGAAGAAAGAAGTGATAAATGAAAACAGCCCATCAAATATGACCTTTTCCGGAACAAGTAATAATGATCAAGATAGAAATTTCAAGTATATTTTTAAAAAATTTCATTAAAATATTATTCATCATTCATCATTAATAAAATCAATGAAAAAAAAAAGATGAAGAGTTTAGAATTGCTGTATTAAAAAACTTTTCAGAATTACTGATGAGAAGCTAGAGAGAAGAACTGAGTATCAAGAGGTACAAAAATTACCTTTACTTTTCTTCAAGCTAATTTTTGATTTTATTCTACTCTAGAAGGCCAATTTCATTCATTTTCATAGTTAAGAATTGTTTTTGGGATACAAGTTTGCTTCATTTTACTTTAAAGTATTTTTACTTCATTTTAATTCATTTTACTTTTAGTCGGGACAAATGAAAGATAGCAGAAAAACGGAAATGAACGCATCTCCTACTAGCATAAAGTAAATTCGTTTTTTCTTCTCGAATAAATTATCTGAAAAATTTTTTGTATTTTTGAACTCAAAACTTATCGAATTTAACATTTAGTGACTTTAATGGAGTTTTAATGATTTAGTGACTTTAATGAATTAGAATTTTAATTTTCAAAAAGTAACGCACATCACGTTATTATTAGAGAACATAAAGCCAGTAAATGATCAGATGCAAATTGCAGTTTTAATTTTAAAGCCTCATTTGTTTAATTAAGAAAGTGACAGGAGGCAATTTTATTTCTTTATTATGATGACTTTAGAAACTTTTTTTATGAGTTACAATGAATTTTAGTATTGATGTAGTACAGAATGATCAAAACAAGTCAAAAAACCGATCATATATTAATGGACTTGCACAAATTCGGACAATTCTTGAAATTTATGGGATGGAAAAAGAAAGAACAGTATGTAATGCTTATCAATAAATTAGTTTTTGACTATAAAAGCACATTTTACAAAACAAATAAAGCCAGAATTTATTCACATCCTCTTGAAAATTACAAATGAAATATGAAGTATTATAATTCATTTATTAATTCACTTATTATCAAATCAATTTTATTATTGAAATGTTTACAAATTCGATGTCTTGTGACGCGTAACATCTATAGCATAACTAATTTAGTTTTTGTTGAAATCCAAAGTATCGAATCTGTTAACATTTTAATAATAATTGACCTATTCAGAAATGCTTTATATTAGCCATTACTTTAGGAAGCGTTCAACAAATTGTTGGACGAAGATGTACCAATGAGTGAAAAAGAAATTGCTGAAAATTTGACGATAGCAGTTTGCGATTTACCAATGAATGCAGAACTTCTTCGAAAAGTTCGTCTTTTTTTTTTTCAAAGGGTCACGTTTTAAATCTCAATTGTATTAGGAATGATTGTCCTTTCATTTAATCTGCAGGTCTATCTATTTATCTATTAAAATGATGGAAGATCAACAGACAAAAACTGATCACTTTAAAAGGTCCTTACAGAATGGAGATGGTTGTAGAATATTTAAAATAATTTTCTAAATTGTAAACAGTATATTTACATTATGTAGGTCCTCAAGAAAATGCACCACAGCAATTTGCTTAGCAAAAAGGAATATGAAATGCTACAGACGAATTTGGTACCTGAAGCGGTAAATGAAAGTGTTACAATTGCGCTACTTGTGCAGGTGTTACAACGACAGAAACTTAAAAAATTGACTTCCTGATTTCGATATCACATTATAAATATATGCTAATTCTTGCAATCAATTACTTTAACTGCCAAACTATGCAATTCTAAACAAAAATTTTTTAATCAATAAAAGAACATTGCTTAAACACTGCTCGATGCTTTCCTTCTACTATCACATCTTTACTATTTTGATTACTTCATCCTTAATTAATCTTTTTAATAATGGAAAATAAAACATAACAATGAGAAAATTAATGTTACATTTTAAATGAGAGTAAAGATTTAATTAAACTTTTGTACGAACTAAAAGTAAAGTGAACATCAATTTTGAAATTGCTTTGCACCAGTGAATATTGGACAGCTAAATGGATCAGTTGCAACTGTGTGTCTACGTGTACACGTGTGTGTGTGTATGTGTGTGTATGTGTGTGTATGTGTGTGTATGTGTCTGTGTATACGTACGTACGCGTGTGCGCGTGTGTGTTCCGTTTTCCGCCATCTAGTAACGAAAAAGGTGTCGTGAAGGCTAAACCATGTTTTTGTTGTATGTTCGGTCATCAGTTCTGTTCTGAATTGTCAAGGAAGGGGAGATGTTGGGAGAGTCCTCTGTGGAAGGCCTATTAGGCCTATTACGGTGATAATACATTTCAGACTACTGCAAAGATATTCTTAGTTGTTATGCATCGACGAAATGGAAAAAGTCCGCTCTTAGCCGTACATGCATTTCAACAAAACACGGCGTTTGCTTCACGTTATAATTTCAAAGTGCTTCGACCACCAATACTCTCCGTTTCACTATTTCATGTCATCATGATATTATTAGTGAGATTTCTTAGGATTCTCTCGGTTGGAACATATAAATTTTAGAGGTGTTGAAGTTTTCAATATTTCAAATTCAAAAAATCCAATCTCGAAATGGCCGTCCTGCTTACCATAAAAATAGGAAATTCGATAAAGTGAAATATTTCTGAGCAAACGTTTACCTTACATTGATTGTCAATCTTATTGATATACTGTGTCATTAGCAGTAGGTGGTGATCTTTTTTTTTTTTTCAACTGTTATATCTTCAAAGGAAGTTTTAGGTTTCAAAAATTATAATCAATATTAATAAAAACTGCTTCTTCCCCCTTTCTTCAGTTCTAGCCCAGATACCCATGAATGAGAAGTTGATTATCAGCGATTATCGAATAGTTATTTACAGCACGATGTTTCCGGCATATGCTCAAGATTTTCCTTCACATCATAGTGCTCCAATCGATGAAGACAACGATTTCAGTGGTCGTTTTGGTTCTTTTGCTTCAAGATCAAAGAAAAAAAATGGAAATAAAGAACAACAGAGAAATGAATATCAGGAAAGAAAAACAAAAGAAAAAACGAAACGAAGAAAAGAATTTGAACGACAACAAATGTTGTCGCATCATTCTATCAAAGTATCATCATTTTAGCCTTTTTCAAAATAATGTAAAATAATGAATGTGGAAAATGATTAAAAAGATGATTTATATTGGACCTCATAACTGGTCCATCAGGCATTATTAATAAGTGATGAAGGTGCCTGCTCATTATTTAGGAAGACGATTTCTTTCAAAGACTGTACTAGTTGAGAGTAATATATATACACTTATTCGATTTTAAAGCAGTCCTGAAACTATTACAATATCTTTGGGGGATAGGAGGGGGCAAAGAAAGGAAAAACTAGAATAGGATAATATAGTTTATCCTTTTTACACACCATCATCCGATGATTTCGTTTCCATGTTGCTATTAGCTTAACGATGCTATTAAGCAGGTTTCTTAGAAAACGAAGGCAGCACAAAAAAAAAATTATAAAAAAATAAGATTAAGGAAGAGAAGAGCGATAGAAGGGTCTTCAGTTGGAACTATTTACTTTATTAAGGTATGTAGGATATAGAGACAAGAACTGTTCCAGCTATGAAGAAATAAAATTCAGAGTTGTAGGAATCAATTTATTACTATTGGATATATTATTCAGATGGTCGGTATCAATTCGGATGATGAAAGTGATATCGAAGTACCTATGGACATCGTAAGTACGAGACAAAAACGAAAATTAAAACACTCGTCAAAAAGAAAAAAGAGGAAGAAACAACGCAGACGATCCACTTCCTCATCATCTTCGTTTTCTGAATCATCCGATTCAACGAGAGATAGCGTTAGTTCAACTTCGAGCGAAAATGAACATAATAGGCGACTTTCAGTTCCGCAAATACTCTGTGTTAGTTTTAGAGATTGTCTGCATTGATTTGTAATTCTTTATTTTTTTTTGGTCATCGATTCAACTGATGCCAAAATTATGAATAAATTTATTTTTCCCGTTAGAACACGTATTAGTGAAGATAGCATGACGACGTCAGATGTGACCATATATGTTTTCAAAAATTTACTCAAAGACTGTTAAAACTTTAAAGTACCGTTCTTTCTACCAATGACTCAAAACCATCCGACTTAACCTGGAAATTAAAATTTATCAGATTATGTAATTGCAATTTTAATTTTTTTCAGGCAAGTCATCGATGGAGTTTTATGACGAAATTCGATCCATCTAATGCGAAATCGTTCATGACAATGGATTTAAAAGGGGATCGTTCCAATATGCATTACGAATCTTTATACAAGGGTGACGTAGCTCAATATGGATTTACGTTGAAAAAAATTCTTGGTGGTGACGAAAATTTAGAAAGGCAAATTTTAGAGCAATTATTTTTAAATTTAATTATTTCGTCATCACATAACGTACTCAATAAGGACATGAATTTTGAGTTACGCCACTTAATCTTATTTCTGATGCTGTTGTTAGTTTAGCTATTTTTGTGGGACTTAAATTCGTAAAATGATTTCTTCTCCATGTTCCTTATTCACGAATGTTTTATGTTTGCAGATTTTATTTCGGTACTTCAGAAAAGAAGGATAACTTTCAAAGATACTTCAGCGATAAAGTCAGAAAGGCGTGGAAAGAAGAACCAGAGCGATTATGGAGAAGAAAAGAATTAAAGCCTTTTACAGATTATATCGAGCTGTCCAGATTTGCTCTATCCGAGGATGATTTGAAAGTAATGCCATTTTGTTGTAATTATATTACTATAATTTTCGAATTTTTTTCGTTTTATCATTTTGACTTTTAAATTAAGGACGACAGTGGAAATTTGAGTCTAGAAAAGTGTAATGCAGTTCAAGGCGGAAAATCCTTGATTGAGGCAACCCCAGAAGCAAGAAGTCGAAGGTATAATGCACAATTAGGAAATGATCGATACAATATTGAATTGTGGTTGAAATTTTTAGCAGTTCAGGTAGAAATTATCGCATTTATATTTTTTTTTCTTCTTAAATTAATTTGTTGTTTAGTTCCTTTTGCTCCTTCTGCTGACTATTTTTATATCACTTTGGATACCATTATAATCGCTCTTATATGGTATTTTTTAAGGATGAAGTGTTTTTGGCTCAGGACAGTCTGGAAAGTCGTAAGAAGACAAGGAATGAGCGTCTTACGAATCGCGAGCTCTTAGAACGGAAAATGAGCATCCTGGACAAAGTAACGATTTATTTGATGCCTTGCTATTATTTATAAATAATAATTATGCATATTAAACCTAGTTTGTTGTTAAGTATTAACGAACATTTATGTATATTATAAAAATTAATATTTTGCTCAAAACAAGGTCTTTTATAAAATGCGATAAAAAGATCGCGACATATTTTCATGTCAAAATATATCTCTTTAAAGTATCGATATAATTGCAGACATTATTTTTGTTTACATTTACAGGCAATTTCACTTAATTTCAATTGTGTGAAGCTCAAATTGGAACGTTTAAAAATTGGGATGCATTTATGGGAAGAGAATGTCTTCAGTCGCGAAATGAGAGATGTTACCCTTTTATACCTAATTATTTTCTTTATTTTCAAACAGCTGTTTCATTTTGACAATTGTTATTTGTTTTTTTTTTTGTTTTATCAGTAATTGCTTTCAATATTTTCTTTATGATCATACATAAAGGTGGAATTCAAACATGTCAACGATCCAGAAATGTGGAAAGGCATACTTGATCTTTTGGAGAGCGATACAAGACGATTTAATCTCACTAATCAGGTATTTTCCAAAACATATCAAAATTTTAATAAATATTTATACAAATCATCCTGTAATGACATAAAGAGGCATAAGTTGTAGTATAGTAGAAGTGAGTTAAAATAGAAATTTTTTTTTTCATTATTGAGAAAATGCGGTAACTGTTTGCTTTATCTGTATATTATTCATGTTATGTTCATTTCATATCGTTATCTTTTGCATACAATCAGTTCATTTTTGAGATCTTATTGGTTCTCAGACTTTTTAAAACTAATTTTTCAGTGTACAAAAATGAAAGTATGTTTGGCAAAACTTGATGAAATACATAGTGGTAAGTTATTGTCACACAAGGCGCTGCCAAACACGGAACAGTTCATGGCATCAGTGATCCTTCGTAAAATACGTCTTTTGTTGAAATGTGGACATACTGAAAAGGTAATTTAATATTTTACGCGTATTTCTACTGTTTAGATTTGTTCTCAGCAATTACTTTACCTAAGACGATTCAGTTTTCTCTATGTGGTTGTAATTTTTTTGTTTGTATATAATTTTAATTTATTTACAAAGGAATGGAAGTTGGGAGAGATGAGTAGAAACAAGTGAAAAGATTGAGCTACTGTTTTTTCTGAGAAAATTATAGGCAATTGCGACGGCTCAAGCTGTTTGTGAATTTAACTTATGCGTTCCGGAATCATTCGAAAGTGCGAATTTAGAAGATAAGCGAAAACTTTTCGAAACTTTCTGGGATAGTGGAATTGCACGTATTGGAGATGAAGACGCAGAAGGTTTTCAAATTTTATTTTCAAACTTCCTAACGTTCAGTGATGTTAAAGACTTTTAATCGTTCCTATTTTTAACTTTAGGATGGGCTAGATCAATGAAACACATAAAGGAAGGAACAGTAAAAACAGACCAGTCATTGTGCGAAGAGGAACAATTGGAATATGATAAAAAAGAGGAGGAATTATGTAAAAGAGTTGGCTCAAATGGCTTGAAGTTATCTTACCGTTTGGTCTGGATAGAAATAGAACGTTTACGCACGCAGTATCAGTGGAGACCAATTAGAGATTTAGGCGCTACGGTATGTATCCTAGTTATTTGGATACTATTGCAATAGCTGAAGTTTTTTCCTCTTACTTTTTTAATTCACATTGTAATAATTGCAGTTCGATGACAGGGAACGAGTCGTGACTTTTCAAGATATTGAGGATGTATTATATGTATTTAGTCCTCCTGTTGCTTTCGATCTTTTCTGCAGCATTTTGGAAGAATTTGGAGCAGTTATATATGCTCGAGTATGCTAATATTTAATAAACCTTTAGTAGCATTAAGGGCTAATAACAATGGCTTTGTTTTCTATGCTATCTCCAAAAACCAGGATGCTATAGGAGAAGACCTAAACAAGGTATCAGTGAAACTTTAATGGCATTATATCGGGACGTGAGTCAGTCGTGATCTTCCTCATAGGAGTCATGATACTCAGTTTATGTTTTTAATTCTTAAATTTTGACATGCAAAATATGTGTGGTTACTATAGAGCAGAAAATCACTGCGTATTTTAATAATTTCTAGACTTTTCACGGGGGGAGAAACACTCGGTTTATTTTTTTGAGTTTTTTGAAGTTGATTTTTTTCAGTTGTTTAACAACTACTACTTCCTAATATTTTGGAACTTCTGTTGCATTTTTGTAGGACTCAATTTTATCAGCGAACATTATGCATGAGTTTTCCATTTTTCCCGATCTTTCTCTACACTTGAGAAATTTTGCTAAATCAGTGAACAGATTTTTTGAATTGGCTTCCAGTTACATAGAAAAAGAACGGGATTTACTGCTATCATCACAGCTTCTTACGTATGTTTTTAGTTGTTAAATTTTTTCAAATTTCGTTTGTCCTTTGTCGGCCGTTTTACTCCAAATTGAGCTTAGTTTTCAAATCTTTTACTTTATTTTATTTTATAAGTAATAAATTGGAGCTCAGTGGTATATATGTGTGATAAATTCGAAGTAATAGTAGAAATAATCTTATTCATTGCACTATCGCTAAAATCTTTCCCAGAGTCTAAAATCCTTTTCGTTAATTACAAACCTATTTACAAAGAGCGTTTTACATGCTTTTTAATATCGTTAATAATTAATTTAGTTATCTTAATTTCCTTAAAATGGACGGTGAGTTGAACGAAAAAATGCGTTTGAAAAAATTTCGAGACGAAGCAAAAAATATATGCTATAAGAACAATAATGTTATTAATACCTCACTGATGGCAACGTATGCAGAAAAGGTATGTTTTTTGGATGTGTTTGTAATCAGGTCTTAATTAAAAAGCAGTTTCTTTGTTTCAAAAATCAAATTCATTGTAATAGATAGGTGGAACTTCGACAAAGGTAGGAGCGAAAATTATAGCGGTTATGTCTTTTGGTTTACTATGCTATTACGATTGATTCGTTTAGATGTATGAATTGGGAGAAAAACAGGCAGCGAAAATTTGTGCCACTAAATTCCTCATAACGAACATGTGGAACGAAGTTGAAATAGCACGGACAATTTCGCTGCTTCGTATGGCTATTGTATGTATATCTGCAACTGATGACGAAACCGAGAAGCGACACCTCATTGCGGGTTTCATATGTGAAGGGAAATTTGTGACTGATACGGTAATTTTAAAATAATTATAATCTAGTGTCTTCAAAATAGACAACTAGTATGTTTTCAAAGTTTGAGTTGTTTTTAATGCATTTTTATAGCTAATAAGTGTTTTTGATTTAATTTTGATTTTTTCCTTAATTATCAATACAAGGCATTTCAAACTATTTCGCATTCAATAATCATTTTTCTAAACTTGCTTTATGGACTATGTAAAGAAGCATACTTTGATGTGTCAGTAAAACTGAAACAATAAGCTGAGAACTACGATGTTTTCATAATTGTGAATTTAAAATTAAACAGCTAATACACAACCTGAAATCTGAATTGTTTTACTTTGGAACTTTTTTAACTGTGATAATTTCAGATAACAGATGCAAAAAAAATTGAGAACCGAGTTAACATTCGTCTTCATGATCTTTTGACAACTAATTGCTTGAAAGAAACATGGGAAGGTTCTGCAGTTGATCTCGCGGCATCATTGACTCTTCTTTTTGCATATTATTATGCTGATAATAATAAAAGAGTATATAATTTAAAGAAATGTTACACAACTCTATCTGACATCATGAAGAATAATTCACAACGGATATTTACGGTTCGTTATATTTAAAATTATTTTTGTTTTTATATAAAACAATGGAAAGATGATTTGATCTAGTACTAAAAACAGTAACCTGTTTGTGAATAGCAGTAATCAAAGGTGAAAAAAGTAAAAATAAGAATTGTATTTTTAAAGCAAAGGTTTTAGAGACACGCTTCTATTAATTATTTATCAATGAAGTAATCAATAAAGCATTGTCTCAGAAAGCTTGACTGCTTTTAGTTCATTTATCTTGTTTAATATTCTCCATTAATAAACAATTCCCATCAGAGGCCTGATTTGATAAGATTTAATCAGTTAATTCATGTAAGAATTAGTCTGAAATTTGTAGAGAAAATATCTGGAGCTATTGCGAATGCACGTTACGAATAATCCATGTGAGCCCCAACGTTTGCTAATGGAAGCATCTATGATGGCTCATCAAAAATTTCCGACAGAAATATCGTTTTTGAAGATTTATATAGATTGTTGTGCTGTAGGAACACGTGTTATACATTTGAGAAGATTCCTAGAAAGTGATGTAGAAGGTATAGTTTTATTTTTGAATGATATTTTTGACTTGCCCCAGCAGATGAACATTGAATTGATTAAATAGAATGATTTAACAGCATGCGTCAACAGTTCATAGCTTATTTATAATCGTTTCCCAGTGTTTGTGTTTTAAAGAAAAAAACAAAAAGTCATAACGTTTTTAGTTCTTATGCGGATTTGTTATTCTTACGAAAGTATGGTTCCCAATTTCATCTGTACACTTCGATTTTTTTGTTCTTTTTGTTATGGCATTTAACAGACCATGAACAACAAAAACAAACCTCCGTTTTACATTTCAAGTCTTCCTCTTCTCTATTTTGTCTCCGTCCTCTCATTATCTACTATCATAGATGTGCATTTCAAATTTTCATTTCAGGATGTAATCCCTTTTCTGATTCATGGGTTGGGAGTCATAATATTAAATGTTTTCATTTCATTAGTGAACTATGAGAGAGTCGTAATAAGCACTTGCTTAATTTAGAGATTATTGAAAATGAAGCTGTCTTATAAGTTAGATTGAATTTAATTCGTTCTAGATTGGCATGCAAATTACTGTCTTGCTTTTGGTTCTGTGTATCTTGAATTACTCCGACATAGAAGATTATTAGAGGCGAATGATTTCCAATCACCCGAATTACATCGCCTTAGAACAGTTATGCAAAAGTCAAGCGAACGTATCTGCCATCGTGATGATGTTTTCTGGCGTTTATTATTGTTCATTGAAAATGAACGAAAAGATACTCCACGTGCACGCGAGGTTCTTTTCTCTATTTTTAAATTGATATTAACTTTTGTAAAATTCTCTTATTCTATGAGCATGAGTTAGTTTGCAATTCTCACAATTTCCCACAGCAGCTGATTAAAAATGTCCCATCTCTTTTCTATCACTCTTATCTTTAGCGCTTCTAAAATATTATTTTTTTAATTATCAAGATTTATTAAATTAAACTTCATTATTCAATATATATCATTATTTTGAAGGTGTTCTATTTGGCATATGCTGAATGTCCATGGTCTAAGGCACTCATCATGGATTACAAAGATGTTAATGCTGGTGAGCATGAAAAGTTGCTCGATGCGTTGGTAGAAAAGAAACTGAGACTCCGGTGTGAACATGAGGAAATTGGTGTATTGTTGCGATAAACGTGAGATGAAGAATATGATTGGAATTTCACTATATTGAATTTGTAAATATAACATCATAGTACTTCTATACTACTTTTATCATGTAAATAATAGGATGATGTAATAAATAATAGGTATTTTGAAAGTTGACGTTTTTTTGAGCGACATAATAGGCGTTTCTCTGTTAGTTTTTATTATTTTGCTTTATTGGTTTTTATCCTTGGTAAATTCCTGTAAATCTTACAATTTGAAAAATTCTTGCTTACCAATGAGAATTGGAAACATATATATCAGAAACGATTACGTTGAATTCCAATCTAACAGTTATTAAATGTTGATATATCTAACAGTTATTAAATGTTGATATACCAGGCTAGAGAAATTCTTTCGATCTCACATCTGATTAGTTTTGTTTACGTTTTAATGTTCTTTCTTGATGCTTTTTCTGACATTGTTTCATAATAAACTTTCACATAAAATTTTGGTTTACTATAGTTTGTCTTCAAATACTGCATAAATTTGTTTTACCTACTGTCTTATTATTTTTACATAATAACTTTTAGAGTTTTGCTGCTTCATCCGATTTCCTTTTTTTTTGGAATTTTTAACTGGCTGGGGAAGAGATAGATGTGTCAATCTGAATTGTTTGATTGTCTCGAATTTTGGGTAAAAACGAATTTTTCTTACTTTTTGCTCGTCCTATTCCTTGTTCTGTTTGCTATTAACTGTATTAATCTTTGAAAAAGAAGACGTGAGAAAGAAAGAAGAACATGGGAAGGCAATAACTTTTATTGGGATTTGTTTTCATTTTCATTAAGCAATTAATAATGTGCTTTAGTTGACAGTAGTGCATTTATATCTTTTTAACTGATTGTTTGGAGCAAAATAGTTTTGCAAGAGTAAAATTTATTACATTCCTCCATTCCTAAGTGGCTTTTTGCATTTTAACTGTTTATTAGTGAAATAACAGAACGTTCTCATGCTATTTTACTTTTCGAAGTAGGTTATAATATTTGAAATTTGTCAAATCTATCATTATGAATTTGGTGATGTTGGTGATGCTGAATTAATAGTTAGGTATTCTGATTTTCTCTTATAAATGAATTAATGAGTGAGTCTATGTGATCGGTGAGTAAAGATTATACTCTTGCTTAACAGGCTAATCGGCATCAGTTTGTTTCTTTTGTTGCGAGGTGAACATTTCGTATCGACTTTTAGATATTAAAAAATTTCGATTAACAGCGATGTTCAAAAGGAAAACCTTAGAAACTATTACATTGTTTTCAGGAAGATAATATGGCTGCGAGTTTTGATTCGAAACTGAATATTTCGCAAGGACAAGGATTTGTAAGATCTACAACTCAGGAGATATTCAGGTGTAATTTTCGCTTAGATTTGCTTTTTCTTTCATAGTTTCATTGTTTGCGTTGGAAGATCTATCGATACAGAGAGAGAGAGAGAGAAAGAGAGATAGAGAGAGAGAAACAGTATTCATAAATTGTCGTAATTTACACAACAATTATAATCTTGCGGAATGAAGGTTGACGAATATAAAGGATTCCGTATTGCTTTGCTTTGCTAGTTAGACATATTGTGGAAGATATGACCAACATTTGAAAAGTAAAAAAAAGTCGAAGAAGATAGCAATAAAAATTAGGCGAATCATTATGACAGGTTTATTTTGTAGTATCTAAAAGGTGCTAGTAGCTTAAATCGGATTACATTAATTAATCAGAATTAGAAATTATATGTTAACGAAAGCATTAATGAAAGATTCATTCGTTATTTTTTGTTTCAGCCATCCATCCATTGTATTTTCTCATGTGATCTTCCGTTCAGTTGCTATTTTCTTCTATGTTTTTGCATATTTCTTCACAAATTCTTTTATCATCCATTTTTTAGTTATTGTAAGTTTTTAAAGCTGTTTTATTTCTTCATTCTTGTTATTGAGTAGAATTTTTTAATTTCTTGCAATGCTATGATTGTTTTATATTATTTTTTTTAGCTTACTTTGTTATCCATTGATTTTTGGACTGTTAAAAACATAACTGGGCGTCTTCTTGTCGGGCTTCGTTGGTGGAATTTTGTTGATGCTGAGGGTAACAATCATTGGCGATACGAATCAGCAAAGGTATGCTGCTCAAAAAGATGAGTATAGGAATTAATCAGTTTTTTTTTTTTTTGTTTATAAATACTAATGAGTAATTCCATGGAGAAGGGGACAATTCCGTGATCCGATGATTGAAAAGAAAGATTTTTTCTGGACTTCAATTTTAACTATTGGTCTTTTTAGTTGTGAAAAGCTGCTTTCTATAAAACGGAAGAATTATAATCAGTTTTTTCTAAAAAATATTGAAAATTGTTATAGGATACTTCCCGTTTTGATGTTTTGGAAAGGCGAATTTTTTGGGGTGCTTTGGTTGCAGCACCAGCTGTGTGGATGATGCTAGTTTGCATTGCTTTCGTGACACTGAAATGGGAATGGATGGTGGTAGCTATAATGGGTCTATTAATGAACGGAGCAAATTTATATGGCTATTTGAGATGCAGATGGGGAACTACTAATGAATTCACCAATTATGTATCCAAGATGGCATTCTTTTCAGTCAGTTTTAATTTTCTTGTTTTTGAAATTAGCTTTTATTTCTTTTTTTCGTTTCTTTTTTTTTTTTGATTTAGATCTAAAAATTTATAATGGTAACTGAAAATAGAGAAGAAATTCTTATTCAGTGTTCCAAATTTATCTTTTGAGAACTCAGAGGCTGTCTCCCCAGCGACTTAAATCGGTAGATCAAGTGAGTATAACAAATTTCTGTTTTGTTGCTAATTCTAGATACTTGGTGTAATTCTAGGTCTTGTCAAAATCAGATGAGGCCCAATCAAATCGACAGTTATCGCAAATTGTATAGATGTTGGGACATGTTGTTCCATAGAAAGATTGTTGTAAAATTCTTTCGCCAAAAATAATTATTTTCGATAATCATATGTGAAAATGAGTTCTAGTTTCCTTATTATACAAACAATTCAAATGGAAGTGAAATTTGCTCATGTCGTATCACACATTTGAATTAGTGATGATTTGCTTTTTCTTATATAAATAGAATAGAATTGTTTTGTTGGATTAATAAAGTGCATATGCCGGCAAGTCTGCTTGGGTTATGTTTGAATCATTTGATGTCACTTAATCTTTTACGACTTTCCTAATTGCTCTTGCTGTTGTAAATGAATGGAAATCAGTTTTTGTGGGATCGTTATAGTTTGTAAGCTATAAAAAAATTTTTTGGATATTAATGTAAAAAAATAACGCTTGAGGAATTTGTATGCATAATGAGTGATTAGAGATTGTTTTATAGCAGAGAAAACAAAAGCTACTTGCTCTACTTTGTTTGTTTTCGGCAAATGTTGATTTCTTCTCTGTTTGATGTCACCTTTCCTGAAATAGTCTTGTTTAGTAAACTTTTATAGTGATGGAGTAGAAGTTTCTGCAGTGTTGTAATAGACACGTCCTTTTTCTTATCTCTGGAAGTTTGATCTTGAATATGGGAATATATGTTCAAGTAAATTGATAAATTTACGAAATTACCTGAAGTTGAACTATATAAAAAAATTGCTGGTTGAATGATCGTCATGTCAGTAAGGAAAATTAAGCTTTAGGATAATTTTTATCACTTCACATGTAATATTGATAGAGATCTGTGATAAGAGTTTTAAGATGTTTTTGTTTACACGATATCTAATCGCTAATGAAGAAAAAATTTGCTAAACAGGCTGGAAGTTTTACTAAAACAGAAATAAGTTATAAGGCAAAATGAGGAACAAGAATTAGGAACTGAATATCGCTTCCTCTGATTTAATACTGTTATCAATACCTAATCTGCAATAAATCATTGGAAGATGATAATATTTATAGCATGAAGCACCAAGCTGAAAACAATACTCAAGTATTAGGAATATTTGTCTATCATTGTGACGACCATGATGTTAATATAATGTAACTGGAAGCCGAAATTGCCAATGAGGATCCAATTATCTAGATGAAAACGATCAATTACAAATCATGCATCTATTGACTGTTTGAAATTTATTTGAAGGATTTAATTTCAGAAACTTCAACAATTTTGGAAAAGTTTAAAAAATATTTCTTGAAGTACTAGCAATTGTTGAACGGATCAAATGAGCTTGGTATAAAATTTGCAAGTCATAATATTATATATTACAAATTTAGTCTAACTGTTCACTCTTCGTACCAGATTGATATAGTGATTTCTGACTGACTATTTTACTCTGTTGTTTCCGCTCCTCCTCAAAACTCTCCGTCATTTGTGTCACCAGAATAGTGAAGAACCTTCGCCATACGTCAGATATCATTGTTATCGAATAAGGGGACGCAAATCGTACTCTTTTCTTATCTTGATTTGGTTCTTCCTGAAATTGAATAGTTCATTTCGTCAATTTTAATTTATGAAAATACAATTTAAGTTAACTGGCATTTTGCTTCGTATCAATTTCAAAAAAGCAATTAATTAAGTTGAATTTTAAGAAATTCAAAAAAGAAAAAAAAACGATGACTTACTTTTTCACCACTTAGATAGGGAATGAATTCATCGATGAATGTATTGCCCACAATAGCAAAATAATTCTTTTCTTCATTTTGATGCATCTTCAAAAACATTTGCCGAAAATGCGCTCGACCGATTTTACGAACAAATTGCCAAGCACCAAGTAGATTTTCAGTATAACCAATCATATTTGTCAACTGTAATTGTTACAAAATAAAATATACTAAATGGTGATAATTCATTCATCTGAATCTTCTAAACTGATTGAAATATGAAAATTTAATTTGAAATAAATTCATATAGTTACCAAGAAGAATTTCAAAGCTAAAATCTTTAAACTGCTACAGAAACTAATCTATACATTGGCATCTCACGGTGCTTTGCTCTTAAATATCAGATGATTAGAATAGAAATACAGTCCGATATGGAGTTTAGTTTCATGTAGCAAACTATAAAGATGTTTCCTACTTTAGGCCAAAAAATATCATAACAGTATAAATTATCAATAGTTTATCACGAGACTGGATGGAGTAAGGAGCATGATTTGATAGTTAATACTTCGAGACATGTAATTACATGTAATTATTAATTTTTCTTAAAAAGCAAACTACGTCGATTTCCTCTAATCTATACGACAAATTAAAAAAGTATACAAAATTCTGAAATTTTAAAAGATGATTGAAAAATCAATTGATTAGTTGAAATAAGAAGCACTTGGTCAAGACAATCAGCAAACCATGCGATATGTCCGCCTAATTTCGGCGTTTTTGGCATTGTTGCTTTGGATGATCTTTCAACGCCAAAAGGCTGCAAAAATCTTGGCTAATTGGAAGTTAACAAGGAATTATAAGATAGGAACATATGGAATACTTCTTTTTTTTGTTAGCAATTTTCTAGCAATTTAATTAAAATTGAATTCATTCGATAATTATATTCAGTGAATAATTCCTAATTAATTCTTGAATGCTTCAGTTTAAAAAATCATTTGAAACTTTATATTATCATATTATGAGTTGTATTTTCGATGCAAATTATGCGAGCGCTTAAGAATTTTTGCTTAGATATTAAAGTCTATTACTGAATTTTATTAATTTAGTGTCATCGTGTTAAATTAAATAAATTATTTCAAATATCGAAAAACCAAAATTAATCGATTCCATAACAAAGAAAGTAAGAAGATTTCAACCTTTTTCAGTTCAGTTGCAATATCGGTTACGATTTTCACAAATATAATCCCAATAATTTCTTTTGGATCTTTCAATTTCTAAAAAAGATTTTTGAAAAAAAAAATTGTAAATTCCATTGGTTTAGAAGATACCTGTAGTTAAAACAATTAAGATAAGAGATAAGTAAACGAATAAATGAATTAATTGGAAATAAAAATAAATTTATTTGAACTGAATAGAATAAAAAAACTAAAAAAGATAGCTAGAAAACTTTATCAATAAAACTCCTACAATTCATTTCACTTTATTTCATTTCATTTCATTGTATACTATTTTATTTAAAAGTGAAATTATGCAAATTATAACCTGAAAACTTTCGCGCAAACAAATCCGTTCTTTTTTGGTAAAAGCAATTTCGAATGGATTTTCAAGTTTGGAAACAATTCCGCTACCAATTGATTTATTTCTCCTGATTGCACTTGCTGCGTTTCCCATTATAAATTTATTGCTATCATCATTAAGGCATATCAATCAGTGTATTGTAATTTGTTTTGAATTTTACTGCAGTTTGTAATCTAAAAAAAAAAGTACCGAAAATATTGATGATAGTAAAATGTATAGTGACATCGTCTTCATGTTGTGTTTACCGTCATTTTAACGTTTACATGTTTAGAGGGATATTTTAAATGATTCTTTTCGACAGTAATAAACATATCAAATAGTACTACCGATTGTACAACATATTTATTAACAATTTAGTTTTCAAATTCGCAATTTTTTTAACTTTTAAAGTTTTGCTGGCTTCAAATTTAAGATTAAAAGTTTAGATTATGAATATTATGTATGCAGATAGTCTTAAAATTATAAATTTTATCATATAGGAAAAAATGTGGGATGCTGCTTGGCACCGATTAAAGGAACATAAGAACGCTTCTCTACAATGACGCATATAATCATGAAAAATAACCTTTAATTATTAAAATATTTGGGGTACCTCTCAATATTAATATTTCATATGAAAAAGTTCGGATACTGAAGTGGAAAGTACAAATAATGTCGCAGATTTCAATGAATAAATTTTATTTGTCAAAGAAGCAATTAAATTACATATTTATGGGAATTTCTATGAAATATTTGAAATGATTAAAGCATTTCAAATATTTTAACACAAATTTTAAAATAGTTTCAGCACAAGATTTAAAAAAAAGTGATTTTAAAATAATTGAAAGTATAAGTATAGGTCAATTCCTTCTAGAAAAACTATTTCAATATTAAAGGAAAAAAACATATGTATATATAGAAAAATTTCTGTATTAAAGAAAGCTGAATACAGAAATTACTGATTTGAAATAAAAAAATTGAACATTTTAAATGAGAATAAATATAAACTTTACAATTTCAAAATTGATTTAAAAAGAATTGATTTAAAAGTGCAACCATATTATATTATTCGGAGCAAGAAAATTTTCAGTTTTTTTTTTCAATAACGAAGAATAAGGAAGAAAATTGTTTTCTATCCTATTTTGCTATTATGATAATTTGATAAGTTATTAAATTATAACGACTTGCTAATTATAGTAATTTGTTAAAAAATTGAAAATGCTGAATTATTTAAAAGGAATAGCATATGTGAAATGATTCGCTCAAATTTAACTTTCATCATATCATCTCCAATTGGAATTTTTTTCTTACCAAAATCGAGGATAATGCACTAAGCTTAAACATGATTAATTTAAAAAAAGAAATTTTTACTAAGTCAAGGAGGAGCAAAATGTAATTGAAATTTAAAATAAATGAATAAAACAATTAAAATTAAACAAATGCAATTGAAAATTGAAAAGCACAATCGAAATTAAAATTAATCAAAAAGAAATTGATGATTGAATTATAATGAGAATTAAAAAGATACAATCAAAGTTCAAATTAGTTTCAGCATTTTATAACTAATTAATTCCCTAATTCAAAGACTTTCAAAAGACAAAAACATCAGCAATAATTCATTTCTCAGATGCAAAAAGAATAACGATTGAAAATAATTACTCAATAATGTACAGCTGCCATTGCGTGGCAACCGTGCTATTTGCAGTATTGTTTATGAATATTCCCAAGCAAATTGTTTTTTTTTTTCAGCATTTACATGATGAGTAATTAATTACTGCTTTTAACATGTAATAAATGGATTAATAAATAAATAAAAGTAGAAGAGTGAGAAAATTAGAGCTTTAATTAATTTAATTATAATACAATGATTTCATTCCTTTTGCTTAACAACAAAAATAAAACCAACTAAACTTCCTCAATTAGCTGTTGCCATTGTTACGCTTTTTAGCACCCGTTGCACATTAATAAATTATCTACCAATATAAAATTTTTTCTATCAGCAATAAAAATCTGCCATTGAATATGCACATATAATAATCATTTTTTTTATAGGTTGAAAATGAAATTTTCCAATAAGTTGCGAAAAATGAGGTAAGTGATAAATTAAATAGCAGTAGTAATTTGAACAAATAAATCGCGAAAAATGAGGTAGGAAGTAAAATAAGCAATAGGAATTTGAGTAATCGAACCATTAGAAGGACAAAAACGTTATGGATGATATAATAAAAGTCGAAAAATTTTGTTAATCTCAATGCTTGCTGTAAGTTTAGCCTATAGTAAAAATGAAAAAAAAAATTAAGATTTTAATTCATATGTTAGTTTGTAATTTTTGAAATTTCCAGACCCAATGGTATTTTGTGCTTATTTCAATGTGATTATTAAAAAAATATGATAAAACTTTAATAAAATCATTATAAAAACGAATCATTTGATCAAAAAATAAATGATTTTCAATACATATAAGCTGAGCAAAATTACAACTTGTATTACATGTTTCGATGTAATAAAATCATTATTGAACTATATAATAAAAATGTCAATACTTGATATATAATAGGAAACTGCATACTAAAACTTAAACACAAGTTCCAATAAAGCATGAGAAATTTGAAAATATAAATTTTTGAAAAAATTAATATAAGGCCGCACAAAAAATGAAAAGTACGAATGAAATCTCAGCAGTTAAAGTTTTTAAAAATTGAATGTACAATGACATTAGCAAATGATCAATTTGGCAGATGCAGAGGAGAGATCTCGAAAAAAGAACAGAACAGCAAAGCAAAACTTATCATAGATTTATATGGCTCGTTGTTTTTGGAAAACTAGCAAACAAAGAAGCGTGTACTACGACATTAACGTTTTCAGTTTGAAATCAGTATTGAAAAAATGATGTAGTGAAGAAGCTAGTTCTTTGTTGTCTAAAGCATTTGTAAGTATATCTGCGTCACTATTAATAACATCCAACAAACATTTCATTTTTTCACATTTCATCAATCGTGTCACCTCACCACTCGAAATACGTGGCAGACGTGTCATTTGTCGATGTAGGACAGAATTATAACACTTTGATGTCGCCTTATGGCCTAAATAAGTTCAAATTAATAAACAAGATGAATTATGATTTATTATAAAAATAATAGCGAAAGTGAAAAAATAATAATGTAAACATTTACTAGTGGGAAACGTTTTAAGGAAAGAAAAATTAAACTGCTCATTACTTATAAGCAAAATGTTTTAAAACAAATATTAATCGAGAAGATCCAAACATGGTCATGCATTTAAGGCTGGAAAAGAAGACGTTTTTATGATCAGCCAAGAATTTGTTGATGAATACTGTCGATCCGAAGTAATTTATTTCAAAAAAATTACAGATCACGTGATAGCCAATCTGACTTGAGACTATAAATGAAGTCGGTCGAATAGATATATTCAAAAAACTAAACTCCTTATTCATATTTTACAATATATTCTAGAAATTTAAAAAAAAGAAACTTGATTCAGAGTTAGATACATCGGTGCATTCTTCAAGATCACTTTTAACTGCCAATACCTGAATCAGATCCGGTTCCTCTTCATTCAGCTGTAAAGAAGTAAGCTATATCTAAAATGAAGTATCATATGTATCATATATTTCTCAAATATAAAATTTTGAAATCACTTATAGATTATGGCAACAGTCATGCAAACAAACGAACCACATCTCGAATACAAATGTTACACTTGCATCAGTAATTCATAAAACTAGAAAATAAATAGAAAATATGAATTACTTTTAGCTCTTCGAACATTTCTGATGAATGCGCAGGATCTAAAGTCCAAATAACATTCATATCTGGGTATGTTCTCACTAAAATTGTGAAAAGAGATCGTGTTTCACGGCAGCGACGGCTTAACTCTCCCTTTAATGTTTAAATGGATTATGAATTATTTTCCTTGTTGATTTTTCCATAACAGTGGATAATTAGATATAAACAATAGAAACAGAATAATTCGGAATGATTTCTGTTGAAATCTTGTCGTAAATTCAGTGATGTTCGCCGATATTAGAAAAAAAATAAATAAAACATAACATCAAGATTAGTAGCCTACCTGGAAAGGACCACCATTAACTTTTTTGTAGTCATCTTTTACATTTGCTTCAATAAGCAAAATTACATTTTTATAGTGACGCAGCATCTAAAACACAACTTATGTTAAAAAATCAATGGTGTTCTAGGCAAATGATGATTTAATAAATAATTTAAAGAACCATTTTTAATAGATTTGACTTCTGGCAGTGTAGTACTGCTAAGAAAATTTAAGTAATTAATTCAAAAAACAAGAGTTCATGAAAAAACCTGTTCAATCTGCTTGAAGATGCGACCACTATGAAGTGATTGAGTAAGATCATCGAGGGCTTTTCTTTCAACAGCTATATTTGGTGACAGAATATAATCTCCAACTTCGATTGTAGCTGGCGTTAGATCTATACCTCGTTTGTAAAGCACTGTTGGCAATTCGCTTTGGAATTCCCTCATATCAACTATCACCTAAAGTGTTGAATGATATTATATCAACTATGTTTCTATAAATAAAAGTGCTCATACTTAAAAAAGCTCCATATGATAATTTGTTTAATGTTTCTTGAACTTGGGTAATTAGAAAAAAATTACCTTTGGGTTCCCTTCATTTTGGTCAGCTCTTCCACCAGCATTTCTAGTTGATCTCATAAGCATTAATTTGTGAGGTTCTTCACGATCTATTTCGTATTCTCTGGCAAACATTAATGTCTAAAAAATTGTTTAACACACAAAATTAGACACTTTCAGGTAAATTTCGAAAAAAAAAAAATCACAACCAGACATACCCCTTGCTCTCGGACCATTTCCTCGAAGGCAATTTGCTCTTTTCTTAATGAGCAAAGGTATCGTTCTTCTTCATTTGAATTTGCGTACATAACAATATATATTGTCAACGGCTCATCAGAGTTGCACGCTTTATACATCTGTAACGGTCATAATTAATCAAACACATGTATATAGATGTAGTACGATTGCTTGAAATTATTTCGTGTCATTTCGATCCATTACCATCCAACATTTTCATACGTAAATTCTAATTTGAAGAAATTTTATTTTAAAAAAATCAAAATCTTGACACAATAGAATAGCGAATCAAAAAATAATGTTTCACCTCTAACAACCGAAGAGATACCATATCGGAATGATAAAGAATAACAAATCGTGGTTCAAAAGTTTCCAACTGTCTGATAAGGTTATACCGCTCACCAGAAGGGACAATGACTAGGAGAGGATCTTGATTTTGACTTTCAACGCTTTCTAAATCATTCGAATTTTCAGACTGTACATCCTCAACACTTGGACTAGCAGTACATGCATTTTCCTCTTCCTGAAAAGCTTAAGTTTACAAAAATGAACTATGGTGAAATGAGTCGTGCATTTTTGAAACACTTTGATCAAACATACAATATCGATGATTAACAAGCTTCTAAAAAGGTGACAGATTTTTGATAAATATTCGAACTACATTATCAAAAAAAAATGAATCTTGCTAATAGCGAAGACGCTTGAGATTTTCAAAATACACAATACTACTAACTTTTATCTTCTTTTTAATTTGAATTATGCCGAAACGCATGAGTCGAGCCTGTTTGCCTGAGTCATGCTTCTTCTTCATTTCTTCAAATAAACGACGTCTTTTCCGACACCGTCGGGTGAATTCTTTTTGTAACACTTTCATGTTATTTACAATTTCGCTCCCTGTTTCGCCCTAAAATAAGAATAAAAAGATATTTTGTTTTAAAATCAGAGAGAAAAAAAACATGGATTTGCATAAGATGATTAACCTCGACGTTATTGGCGAAGAGAATAATTTTTGAAGGATCCCATGAAGGTTGTGATTCCGGTTCCGTATCATCCTTTCCACTGATAAACTTTTGTCCCAGCTGCTTATTCTGAACCCATAAAAATTTTGTCACACCCCAACTAATGATATCTCGCAACTGTAGACACACTTCACTTCTTGAACCAATTAATAACACTGTTGGTTCTGAAAGCAATTTATAAAATTTTAAAAAGCATTTGAGAAAAATGGACATTTGTTCTGAAGAAAATAATTTAGGGCACAAAATTTTAAAGAAAGAAATTCAGTGGACTTTAAAATACAAATACTCCTCAATCATGAAATCCGCTACTGAAAATGATAAAGTACCTTTCTCAGAACTCATTTTATCCAGTTTATAATTTATTTTGATCTCTTCTAGGACTTTAAGAAGTGCTTTCCATTTCGGTGGCTCTGAAATTTTCAGCTATGGATTTACTCTTGATGCTTTAAACACTTTTTAAAGTTTGACGCTCAAAAAATTTCTCAGTTTTACATTATAGTAAAAGAAGATTTCAACTATAATAATACAAACAAAATAATCACCCAGCCGGATTCCGAGAAGATGGTATGTGCACATGATACAACAACATGAGAACTAAAAGAAAATCCAGAACAGGGGAATTAAGAACAATTATATTGAACTTGTGTTTTTATCACAGCAGCTTCGATGCAGTCTATAAAATGCTCGAAAAATTAAAATGATTACCTACCTAATACAGTACCAGGTTTAATTTTGCATAATCTGTCTACCTCCGTAAATAGTTTCGAAGACGTCTGCGTGAATAACCAACCACTGTTAGTTGTAATCAGCTAGAAAATTTTATTCGGATCTTCAATATGGACTTTTTAAAAATTTCGAATTGTAAAAAATAATTCCAGGAGCAACTCAATTGGATTGTGTCAAAAATTTGTTTGAGTTAAAAACTTTCACGTTTTTCGAACTAAATTAAAACTCACATCTTTATTATTTCTAAGTTCATTCAAACAGCAGTACAGAGTAATTGGATCCAGTTCTTCAGCCTAGAAAATGCCAGCAATTACATCATAAAATTAAAGATCATAAAAGCAGCTCAGAAAATATCTATTCACAAAAATATTACTTTGTATAAAAGATTCCGAAGTTGTTTGAGATCTGCTAAAAGGCGTTGTTGCTTTTCAGTAATAGAGAACTGTCGTCCTTTCAGCTGTATTTCTAGTGAAGAAGGCAAAAGGCCGGCACCTGGCTGTATACTTTCTTCCTCTGAGGTATTCTATAATTACAGTAAAGATCAATGAATTTTTCTACAGCAAATAAACAGAAAATTTTAATATGAAAACTTACATCAGTTGATAGTGAAGTCTGCTTCAATTCTCGAACGCAAGTACGTATTATATCTACCAAAAGTGACTGAACTCTCCGCATTGCATGCGGCAAATCAGGTGTTATTTCTATCATATGTGGCTGGAAATGCACTTCTTACTCACTTTATCGCAATGATTAAATGAAGGAATATTTTAAGACATTTTAACAAGAAAAATCAACAGTTTTATTCTTCTGCCTTATCAAACCTTTCTTTTCCCTTCAAATCAAAAACGAATGTCAACGTAAAATATTTTTATGTGCATTAATATATATTAAATACTTACAGAACACTGATCCAGTGAATTTTTCACGTCTACATCAAATCTTGGCAGAAGCCTAACTCTTCGAATATATAATCGATTTAGCAATCGTTGCAAAACACCCATACCGGAGAGTGCTCCCGGATTGTCACTAAAGAATAAATTATGCATTCCAATCAGTTCAGTAATAAAAAAGCAATACGGCATTTATAAAACCAACAACCTAAATGCCTTAACGAAACCATCTGTCTTCTTTTCTCGGTACAAGCGAAGAATAAATGATTCTTGAAATCCACTTAGCAACCTGAAAAGATTGTAACATTCATAACAAATTACGAAAACAGCTGATTTTCACTGCAAACCGATCATGAAATCAACAGACTGATGCGCACGATGGACAATGATTCCAGCCACATTCTTTACTGGGACGCGTTCTTGCAAAAGGTCAACCATGAGAATCCGCGAGGTAACGAAATGGACTCCTCCTTCCATATATAACGATTCTCTGAACAACATACATCAAAGAAAGAATTATAAAAGAAAAAACGATTAGCCATAGTTTGATAATTTCTTGACGAAAAATGAGTTAATCACTGATAAGTTATACATCACTATGATTCCAGACCTGTGCTCGGAAAATGAAAAAGACTGACCGATCTTTTATGGAACAGTCCGCTGTGATGATTTTTGGTGGGCATTTAACTTTGGAATCGCGTAAACGTGAAAGAAAATATGCCTGAAATTTCATAATTTTTTCAACTCTTTTATTTCTATCAGTTACTACTATTTGAGAGCTTTATCTGTTGCTAAGAATAGATTTCCCAATGGCTGAAACGTATGCAGCTTTGAAATAAAAACTGACATACAAAACTGCACCATCTATTACCCATCTTTATCAAATATGTAAATTTGAAAGATTAAAATAAAATGCATAATTTGAGATCTTTTTAAGCGAGAACAATTCAAAGATGGTCTGTTTTAAAGTAGCTAAGAATCAGCTAGGCTTCTATGAAAAATATTTATGAAAGCTACTGACATCATCTTGTGAAGTCGTATTGATAACAAATACCAATAACTGTGGATCACAGTATAAATGTAAATGATGAAGGATCAAACGTTCCAATCCCAAACCACTGAAAAAGAAAAGTTAAAATTGAAATGACTGAGAACCACTTAATGAGTAGTAAAAGTAGCATACCTAGCAAGGATGAAAAGCACGTCATCAGCGTAAGTGTCGAGCATAATATTCCTTTCGAATTCAAGCAACTCGATCATGTCTTCATCGCTACTCAGCTTATTCTTTGGTAAGGTGACAACCTCAGATTTTTCAACTGAATGCATCACTTCGCTCATCTTCCTCAGACGAAAATACCAGGAATAATCACCTGATCAACTAACGAAGTAGAAACAGCAATAAACAAAGTGACTCTCATAAATTCGGCATTTTAAATGTTTGTCTACAAAAAGAGGTCTAATGGCAAAGTAACTCTCAGTTGCAGCCGAATCAATGAGGCTTTTGCATGAATCAGTTCTTACTGAAATGTCTAATAAATTGAATGATATTGCATTCGAATGATGCATCCCTCTCTCTTTCTTTCTCCTTCTCTCTCTCTCTCCCTCTCCCTCTCCCTCTCGTATTTTATTAAATAAAAACACACCTCTCTCGGGTATTCGTAATTACATACTGATAAAGAAATGCCTAATTATATTTGTTGGAGGAAAGTAAAAACAGATAGAACTGAGATGTCGAGATTGATGTAAAACAGTAAAAGATGTGAAATGCTTAATTATTATTGCACAGTTCATGTCCCTGAATCTGATTTCTCTCATTTTTACTCGTAAAAACATATCTACCCATAAATGTAAAATTGGACGAACAATAAAGAACAATGTATCGTACTGTACGATGATTTTTTTTTTTTAAAAATCCAAACTACTATTTCTGTAGTTTCAGCTTTTTTTTGGGTGCCATTTTGTTTCGAAATAGTTATTCCGATAAACATATCAACATGCAAACCGAATTTTTTAAATAACAATGCAGCAGTTTTGATATTACATATGTACGAGAACTGTACGACAACATGACATATATGTTTCAAAAATAAAAAAAAAATGACATAATTATTTACATTTCGCATGATTGCACATATTGCTATAATAAAAGATGTGTTGATGTGGGAAGTGAAATATATTTATTTATATTTTTCATATAATTCAGTATAATGACATATCGCTAGAAATAGTTACTGTAAAAATGAAAAACAGTTCTAAATCTATAAGGTAATAGTGAGAAGTTTATAAGGCAATGAATAATAAGGCAATAGTCTATAAGGCAATTTGTGAAAAGTAAGAACACTTCTCACAAAAGATTTTTGCAAAAATGAATTCACTAGTCCTTCTTACGATAAACCTTCCTTATTTCTTTTGCATTTCCAATTTTTTCCTTTTTTTTTCGGAAAAGGAGGTAATTTATGTTCTTTTTCACAGTTTATATGAATAGTTTAGAGCATGACGTTGACCGTTTTCATTTTTTCACATTTTTATTTTCTCATCCATTAATTCGTACATCCCACATACTTTATTCGCTGGTAAAGCTCTATCTAAAATTATCACGATGAAGTATTCATTGATTAGACCAGACAATTTAAAATAATTAAGTGTAGCTGTACATTTGTTGAGCCATTGATACTCAAATATTGTTCACCTTCCGTTACTGCTTACCTATCCGTGCAACGCCTCATAAAAAAAAACCGAATAAGATACACGTTTCTCAATTTTTACAACAAAATAACATAGTTCCCACTTTTTTCGTCAGTCCTCTTCAATCCAGTTCTCGCTTTTTCCGAAATCTCCTTCAATTCAGTTCTCGCTTTTTTAAAAAAATATTTATACCAAATTTTGATTTTCAAAACAAAAGGAAAAATTAACAGATAACAGACCGATTTGTTTCGGATATGCGAGTTTAAGATTTTTCATCAAAACTACAAAATCGTTTAAAGATTTCGTTAATCTTGGATTGTACTTCTTTTCTTCACCAACAGTTGTTAATAAAAAGCCCTGCAAACATTAAATTCTTTTAATTCCTTCCTTTAAGATTCATTCTTTCATTTTAATTCTTTTTATTGCTTTTAAAAGACTCTGTAAATTTTCATACGCTTATAATTTATCATTCTATTTTTAGATGATTTTATGAGAAAAAAACATACTTGAAACTGTTATAGTGTTTAACACTCAATATTGTAAGATATTATTATCAAAAATCTTGATTCATAAACTGGCTTTTGAAAAATTGACCATTTTAAAAACACCTTGTAATCATGAGCTGGATAGAGCAGGAAATCATCAGGCAAACTGAAGATTTTCTCGTGTACTGACTTGTATAACACTTCCGGATTTCCTATAAGTATGGTCCAAATGATATTTATTTCCTCTTGGTAGCAATTTAAATGGTAAAGAGCCTATAGTTAGAAATAAGGCAGATCCACTAAGAGAGACAAACTGATTCATCCAACTTATCAAGGTTCATTAGATGTGTTGATGTTTTTTTTTTTAAATTCTTTTCAACAATTTTCTCACATCATAAATACATAATCTAAAATTTGGGCATGTTTTTTTTTTTTTTTCAACCAAATTTCAATCCCAAACATCCAGTTCTTCTATAGCATTTAGGAAGCGAGTTTGTTTGATACCTATATCATTGCATTTTAATTGAACAAATGAAACAGTTACATTTCATGTCACCACGTTTTAATTGAAACAGGTTTTTTAATATATACTTTTGATGCTGTTCCCTAAATTTCATTCATAAATTTCATATAATTCTTGTTCTACTTTAGCAAATCAAATTAGTCTATTGAAGAGAACTAGAACATAGTGAGAAAAAAGCTGTTAACACTAGTAATCATCGTAGATTTTTTTAAGAAATATGTATACATTTATCTAAGTTACTATTCCACAATTTAGATTATTTAGAAGGAAGAGTCTGATAAGTTAATTTGAATATCTTATAGAAACATGCCTCATTCTATGCAGAAATTCTGAGTTGTATTAGCTAAGATAACTATCTTCTTTCCATGACTTAGTGTTGCTGAAGTAGTAGGACAAATGTTTTTCGTAGCATGCACAAAACTTTACACTTTACAGTTTCAATATTATGCACTTCAAGATTTAAGTGAAAAATATATAAAAGCGAGGATACCTTCTTGAAAATCTGTACGTCCACATCCTCGTATAAGAAGTGCATCTCCCGTAAAAGCCATACGATGATCATATGAAACATATGTCACACATCCTTGAAAACATTAATCATTTATTTATATTATGCACTGAGAAATTGCTGGAAGCAGAAAAAACCATGCAAGAAGTATCTTTTTAGATGAAAATGACGAAATGATTAAATGTATTTGAATTTAGCGTTTCTCCTATAACAAAATATTACACAAAAAAAAATCCTTTCAAAAATCCTTTTATATCTTCATCTTGTCATTAAATGGTAAGGAAAAATTTTTACTTGATGAGATCACCAGCGATCTTTAATTCAGTAAGTTCGAAGCTGCATCATCCATTTTTTTCTTTTTTTTGATACTTCGATACTTTTCTTTGAAAATTTTTCAATCCAGCTTCTCAGTTGATAATAGACTTAATATACTATCTCTTCTCTGTCAATAACGATTTTTTTTTAAAATTAACTGAGACCATCAATCTTCGATCCTATTAAAGAAAACATTTCATGTAAAGAAATGGGTACAGATTTGAACCTGTTACTGAAGGAAAGATCAGTAAGTTATCTAATTGAGTAGGACCTCGGATCAAAGAGATTCATCTGCTTTATCGTATAATGACAAGATAAACTATTAAAAATATATTTGAAGAAAACTTTACGTAACCCTTTAATTGAAAAATCAATAACTGATCTGAGTTCACTAAGGTACGATAGTAATTTATAAATGATAATGTCGTATTTACCATTAGTATGACCTGGTGTCTCACGAACTTCTAGATTTTGATTGCCAAATTTTAATATCTCTCGATCACTGACTCGCACATCTGCATAACCACCACTACATTTTGATAGCACAGAACGCATATGTGGAAAAATTTGCTTTAATTTGCCAGTACCAGTAATATGATCTGCATGAAGATGAGTGTTAAGACCATACATCGGATCCAAATTGAGTTCTTTTATAAGCTAAAATCTCATCATTTATAAATGATATTTCTCAAATGAGTGATTTTATATGACTTGATGTTGTTTAACTGTGAAAATTAAAAAAAAAAAAACAACAACAACAACAAAATCTCTCGATAAATTGACGTTCGATTGCATATTAGATGATTACCTTTGCATCGCGTTCGACAGTTTCCAACACAGGATCTATTATTATCGATTTTCTACTTGTTGAGCAGCCTAACAGATATGTATAGGTACATGATACAGGTTCGAATAGCTAAAAAAGAAAGTAAATTGAGCTGAAAAGATGTTTCAAAAATTACATCAATTATAAAACGTTACAATTATTTTCGGTTCAAAAAATTTTCATTTTTAATAAGTGACTTCCAAAAAAAAAAAAGCATTCAAATTTGAATCAACTTAAAGAATGAATATAAAATGCTCAAAAATGTTAAAATATTTTTTTTCGCCAATTGTTGGAGAATGTTGGAGAGTGTTTCATAAATTAAATTTGCGAAAAGATTATTCACCTGACGGAAAATCAATTTAGTTGCCATGTCAATGAAAATACTCCACTAAGAAATTTTAGAGATATTAAAACTCTGCAAATATAATGATGTTTTTAGATTTTATCATTCTGTATCAGTATCCAAACAACGAAATAACTGATATTCGAAAAAAAGCCACGTAACACGGACATCCGTCAACTAATATAAAATAATGAAATGCTGCAAGTTGCACAAATTTGTTTAAAATTTTTTTGCGCATATAATAACTGAAACAACAGAAAACTTCAAAAAGAAAGAAAAGTCAATATTCATTTAATATTTTTAATTCCATTTCTGAATTTCATAATTTTTATAATTTTTTTATAAAGTAAACAATTTTATTGTTATTACATCATTCACAAAATTATAACAGAATAATAATAGCAAACTCTGGTGATACGCTGTCTAAAATAAAATTTTGATTTGAAAGCATTGAATTCTAATCTATTTAATAAGATCAGCTTGAAAGCCAGAAAGCTAAACGTTTGGGATGAATGTTAAACTAATTAAAAAATGAAAACAGGATTGATAAGCATATTTGTACTGTAAAAGTGATTTAAATTTTGAAACTTACATCCAAAAATCCTGTAATTTTCTTCAAAAAACTTCGTTTTGTTTTGCTACAGGAAATATATTCTTACTAAAAATCCTTCTTACTTTTCAGGATTTTTTTTTTGAAATGTTTTAAAATATTTTTATCTAATAATTTATACCATGAAAACTATTACATACAGTATTTATCGTTCAGTAAATGATAGTTAAAAGTGTTTACGCCAATAACCTCAACTATCATTTGACGTTTCACAATCTTCCAAAATTCATCGAACTTGGTAGCTTATTATAAGTAATTAAGTACCATCTCATAATTACTGCAACATCAAAATTAATATCAAATAGAAAAGAAATACAGAAAGGATGTTGCCATCGAGTTTTATTAAATATAAAGCAAAAAAATAAATAAATTTTAATAGCATAATCCTATTGGATGAAATGCAATAAAATTGTTTGTTAAACGCATTCAAATAATTAAAGACCATTATTGTAATTTCCTTTTCGTTTCATTATTTCCTAATAAAATTTTAATTTCTTTTAAATATATTTGAATTAAATAATAAGAAGTGCAATTAATTTTTTTGCGCATACGTATGTAAAGAATTTATGCACGTTAACGTAAAGATGTGTGTGGTAACGTTGTGGAGATGCAGGCTTCCACATTAATTTTTGCATTAAATAACTAATATGGAACGTTATAGTAAATAATTGGAAAATTTTAAACCATTTTAAAAAATTTCAGATGAATAATTATAGAATGATCTGTTATGCACCTTATCAGAACAACGATTAATGGAAGAGCCGACTGACATTTTAGCACGGTGATGCTATCAAATAGATGTGTGTGTGTGTGTGTGTGTGTGTGTGTGTGTGTGT